CAAAATTATTTACAAAATTAGATCTCAAACATAGTTTTTGGCTGATACCTTTACATCAAAATTGTAGGGATTACACTGGATTTTCAATAGATGGTGTAATATATAGATTTTGCGTGGTACCATTCGGAATTCAGAGTGCATGTGCCAGTTTAGTAAGGGCGTTGCATAGAATCCTCAATAAATACGAAGATTTTGTTCTTCATTATGTGGACGATATCCTTATTTTTTCTAAAAATACTGATGAACACCTTAATCATTTGAACTTGGTAATGAAAGCTCTTGACGATGCAGGCCTCAAATTAAACATAAATAAATGTCAATTTTTTAAAACAGAAATAATATTTTTAGGTTATAAATTAGACACAGTAGGTATAGAAATGGATCCAGATAGGATTAAAGTTATTAGAGAGTATAAACGACCAGTAAATCTTAAAACACTCAGGGGATTTTTGGGAATGATTAATTATTTCAAAAGATTAATTCCAGACATAACAGCAAAGGAAATACCATTAATAGAATTGTTAAAAAAAGGGGTAATTTGGCAATGGACAAAGGAACGGGAGGAAGCATTTAATAAAATTAAACAACTATTCATTGACAAAATTAAAATTTATCATCCAATATACAATAAAGAGTTTATTTTGAGGACTGATGCTTCTTTAATAAGATTTGCTGGAGTACTTCTACAAGTACAAGATAATATGGAAGTTCCTATATCTTTCGTATCGAGGACTACTAAAAAACACGAGAAAAATTATAGTGTAGGTGAACTAGAATTAGCGAGTATTATATTCAGTATAAATAAATTAAGATTTTATTTGTTAGGTAATAAATTTGTAGTAGAGACTGATAACTTAGGTATAATTTCAATTCTAAATAATAAGTATGGAAACAGTAGAGTACACAGATGGGCTTTGTTACTCCAAGAGTATAATTTTGATATTAGGCACGTTTCTGGGAAATTAAATGTCGTATCCGATGCCATTAGTCGAATGGATGGGAATGATAATAATAAAAACAAAGTAAAAATAGGTATAAATATAATGAAAGATGAAGAAGGGATTTTTACAAAACAAGAAATATTAAATGATCAACAAAATTTAACTCAACAAGAAAAATCAAAGGCAACATTTAAGGGGGGAACATATGTGAAAATTTTTGAGAACGATGAACTTTATTTAATTACAAAGGATTTAACAGAGAGAGTAGCAAAAGAGATTCATGAAAGGTATGGACATCCAGGTATACGAAAAACATGGCTCATATTTAGGGAAAATTATATTTCAAAGGGGGATTACAAAATTATAAAAAATAAATTAAGAACATGTAAAATTTGTCAATTAGCAAAAAATAAAAATTGGCATAATGAAGGTATACCAAAAAGTGTAATATCAGAAAAACCATTAGATATTATAGCCATAGATTTTTTATCCAACTTAATTCCAAGTTATCAGGGGAACAAACATATTTTTGTAATAGTGGATATCTTTTCAAAATACATTAAAATGTATCCATGTAATAAGACTAATACCAAAATAATAATAGATAAGTTTGAAAGTTATTTTTCTGAAATAGGAACACCGAAAAATTGCATATTAGACAATGCGACATACTTTGTAAATGATAGAATTAGAAATTTTTTTATTAGACATAATATTAATCCTAGATATGTAAGTATACGACATCCAGCAGCTAACCCAAGTGAAAGATATATTGGTGAAATAATTAAATATTTAAGAATCATTACTAATAACGAACACAACAAATGGGAAAATAAATTGTCAGAAATTGAGGATTATATGAATCAATTGCCAAACACAAGTACAAAAGAAAATCCTATATTTTTAATGAAAGGAATAATGCCACAAAGACCATGGTCTATTGAAAGTGTCAGGCAATATGATCAAGTTATTGAGGATGTTAACATAAGAATAAAACGTACAGCAGAAAACTATATTAGAAAAAGAAATGAAAAATTAAAATTTAAAATGAAATTTAATAAAGGGGAATTGGTAGTAGTAAAGGCTTTGAAAAATAAAAACTCTCAACAGAATATATGCCCTAAATTTCAATGGCAATTTGAGGGACCATATATTATTGATAATATTGATGGTGAGAATAGTTATATTTTAAAGTACCAAAATAGTGATAAAATCAGAGGTGTGTTTCATATCTCACATATATATAAATTTTGGCAAGAATTTGAAAATAGTGTCAAAAGTAATAATAATTAATATATTAAATAATTTAATTTAAATAATAAACAATAATGAAATTTGCATTTCAAATTTCCCATAAATGTTAAATTTAAAATGTAAATTTGGGAATTTGACATGTTATCAAAACACCCTGTGTTCTAAAATAATAAAAAAAAAACTAATAATAATATTAACCATACTAATAATAATGATAATAATAATAATAATAGTATTCTATTATTTAAACATTCTGTCTCTCACACAACACAACACAATAATAGTAGTAATAAATTGATAACCCTGTATATTAAAATTGATAAAAGGCTTAAGTGAAGCAGAGTAAGTAGATAGAAAAGATTGGTTTTCTAGATTAAAAAGCTGGTTAAAAAAAGTCAATTTTGAGAGGGGATGTCAATTTTGGCGAATGATAAAAAAAATGTCAGAACATTTAAAAGGTAAAATTATAATTAAAATATATATGTGGAGATTTAAATAAACAAAACTATATAAGATACACTGTAAAAGTTACGAGAAATCATCAGATTAATGAGAGAAGGAAGAAGAGGAAAGAATAGATTGAGCAGAAAGTGACCTGGACAGAAGTGAAACCCAAAACTGTGATACGGTATTTATAAAAACTTCTTAGTATGTTTCGTGCGATGATAGAGATACATAAAAAATTGATATTTGGACAATAATTGTTATTTTTTTTTATAATTTGTCTTGAAGAAGAGTTGTAATTTTTATTAAGATAAGTTTAGTAGGTGTAGTAGGGTAATTATTAATTATTTTTCAATTTAGTACAGGTAATTGAATACCTGACAGTTGTTTCGAATTGCCCATAGTGGTGCTGTTAGAATTAAATAATTAAATTTTTGAAAAGTTTGTTTATTTAAATCTTTAATTGTTAGATATACAGGTATCAAATTTATCTAGAAGCAACTTGCATAATTCTAATTGAACTAAATAAATTACATAAACTAAATAAACTTAATATACTAAATAAACTAAACTAAATAGAGTTAATAAACTAAATTTTAATAAATTAAAAAAATATATATTACAATTCACGAACCGACACCACTGAGAGAAGAGAATCTGCTCTATATAAAATAAAGTGATAAAATATATATATATAAAAAAAGCTGGCCGAGGTAAGTTTAGGTTATTGTGTATTTTTATAAATTGTGAGGTTAAATAAGAGAACGTAACAATATATATATATATATATATAAGTTTGATACATCAGACTATCCAGATAATAACGTTTTTAATATTCCAAGAAAGAATAACAAAGTCTTAGGTTTGATGAAAGATGAGAATAAAGGTAATATCATGACACACTTTATTGGATTAAGATCAAAAATGTATGCTTTAAAAGTAATGTCAACATCATCATCATCTATTCAATTTGATGATGATGATGATGATGTAGATAAAGAAACGGAAATTGAAATTCGAAAGGCAAAAGGTATTAAGAAATCAGCTTTAAAATATATAAGATTTGAGGATTATCACAAGTGCTTGTTTAACAATTCACAAATGGAAGTTTACCAGAATTCCATCATTTCAAAAAAACATAAAGTATATACAATTTCACAAAAAAAATTGCTTTGAGTCCCTATGATGATAAAAGAATTGTATCTAATGTTTACACTGATACAAAACCATGGGGATTCAATGACTATTATTCATTTTAAAACAAAAGTTATTTAATAAATAAATAATAACAGTTCGTTTTTATGCTTAATTAGTTTACAATTTAATCACATTGGACATTGGAAACAATTGGAAGTCTTAAAAACTATTCTGTAAGTGACCGAATTATTTATTATCAAATTTAAAAAATAAAAAAAATATATTTATTGTTTAAGGAGATAATTCAATCAAGAAATCAATTTTCTATTTCAATAAACATACTAAAACAGATCGAGAGAAGAGAGAGAAAGTGGGAGAGAAGAATATTACGTAAGCAAGAATCTTAAATAAGAAGAAATATACAATAACCACAACAAGAACAGCAATACCACCAAATCCTAAAAATTAGATGTCTGGAATAAAATTCAGAACATACACTGCCGGTGTAGTAGAAAAAGTAGTATGTGGTGTTTGTAGACACACCATTAGTCGACAAACAAACAAACAAAAATGGACAATAATTGGAAATCCAAAACTACCATTACAACTTGTCCTGTATGTTTCCAAGCAAGACCTTGTATAAAAAACAAGGTTATTGCTTGGAATTTATAATTATTTATTAAAAAAAAAAAACATTTTTCTGTTTTTATTTATAACCTAGACATGCGCATAAAACAAATGGAAAAAGTATAAATATGTTGTTTGTTACTATTTAAGTCATTAAAGTAATTCACCTTTACTATTACAAGACACTCAAGAAAAATAATACTAAAACAAAAATGTTTCAGACAAAAGTAAAGTACTTTTAATTGGGCCCAGTTCTGCAGAAAGCGACCAACACACAAAAGATAGTTTCTGAGAAAATTAACATTTTAATTTTACGTAATTAATAAAATGTTCTGGCTGAAGTATTAAAAAATTTATAATATTTAAAACAATATTGTTTTCGGGTAACTAAAATATTATTATTATTATTATTAAAAATTTGATTTTTTTTTCTCAAAACTGTTTTTTTTTTTGGGGGTTGGATGCTTTCTGCAAAATAAATAATAAAGATTACACAAAATAAGTTAAGCAATATTTTGTTATTTTGCCAAAAACTACAGAATTGGAGTAAAATAAAATGTTATAATGGTAATATGTAATAACTAAAATCCTTAAACTTTAATCTTCTTCAATGCGGAAGTCTAGATTTTCTATGTTGTATCCCTCGGCATCTTCTTCAATATTGGCATTTCCATTAAGTTTTTGGTAAAAGCTTAAGCAATCGTATGGAATGAGATGATACATCTCTCGTAAATTGGCAAGGTTAGGCTCTGCTATGGCCTTTCCTTGTGGCCACAGCTCTACCAAATTTAAAAATACATTTTCTTGAGAATAATTTTGAGTTGGTCGACCTCTCGTTAATTTTTTTATGTTGACTTCTTGAATAGGGTCATCAAAAGAGTTTTGTTGAATATATAGTAGGAAAGGTTCATCTTTAGTTATTTTTATAGACCTAATAGTCAGCCAGTTAATTTTTTCACCATTGACTGATATTTTCCTGTTCGAAATATTTTTTTCTACATTGGAAATACCAAAAAAGTCTTTTGATAACATTTCAGTGACTACAAATGGTTGTTTCTTTCTACAGTTTTTCATCACGTTTATGTAGTCAGAAGGTAAATACATTCGTTGTTGGTGTTTCAGGGCTGATTCAATGTCACTGAAATCTGAATCGTTTGGTAAAAAGCTGTGACCAGAATATAAAAACTTTAAGGTGATGTCTGTAAGGTGTTCAGAGGAATGTAAAATGTATTTTAATATTAATGTTAATTTGATGTTGCGATTTTGTCCACCGTAAGAATCGCTCCATAATATCAAATGTTTAACTTCGCCTGATACATTTTCGTTTATGTGCTTCACCAAACACGATCCTACTTCTTGAGCTCCTCTTCCAGCTGTTCCTTCAGCCCAAACATAACAGTAGCCACGATTTTCCGATCCACTATGCACTCCTGCATTGTATACCCAAAGTTGCCTCCTGTAAAATACAATATTTGTTGGAATCCTTGGAAGAGGCAACGTTTTCTCCAAATCGAATGTACTCATATTCGTTCTGTTCTTTTGCAATTTTAAAATCCTCTCTTCTTAAGCGTTGTGCATTTTCCGCCTCTTCAATATGCTTTCTGTGCTTTTCTGTTAATTCCTGTTTCTTTTCGTCTATCTTTTCGTTATCAATTTGCATTTTTAGACTGTCGCATATGTTGCATGTATCCTTCTTCAGAGTTTTAGTTCGCAAATTAAAGTTTGAATAAAAAATTTTTTTGTATGTTGTGATGCTAACAGAATTTTCAATTTCTTGAGAATACATTTCATACATTTTACTAAGTGTTACATCGGGTGGCAAAAATTTTGCGTCTGTTTTCTTTCGCGAATAATGGGAAATATAGGTAGGTATTTTATTAATTTGATTAATAACTTCTTCCACTTTCTCTTCAGATGTTTTATTTTTACCATCTTGCTTAATACCTCGTTGGTCTACTAAAGCTGCTCGGCCATGAAATTTCTTCAGTGCTGTATTTACCCGACAAGGGGATATACCAAATGTTTTAATAAACATTTCTCTACAAACTATTTTATCTGCTATTTTATAACATCTTGAAAAATTGCGTCTCAGAGTTTTTTCCATAATTTCGTTTTTTTGGAACCTCGCTCACTGCAGCAGCTATATAATTATTTTGGCAATTATATGATTTCAGTGACCAAAATTTTTCGAATTGGCGTTTTCTTAGTTCGAGAGAAATAAATTCCGCACATTTTAATTTACACCGACAGTCAAATTCTATAAAATCCTTTGATTCTTTTCTGCGCCCTTTATAGTCAAGATAGGTCATGTTACTATTTCTTCTTGTTTTACCTTCCGCTCTAGACTGATCTAGGAATTTTCTTTTTCTCCCCTTTCGAGGTCTTCCATTATTAGACTTCGTCATATTAAGTTCTACCTCAGATTCATGAGGCGAATCATCAGCTACAACATGGTGGCGAACAGGAGGATCATAGGAGGGATCATCTATTGAATCATCTGACCAAGATTTAGGTTCATTTTCTTCTTCCACATGGTCAAATTCTTTTTCACCACTGTTAATGCAGATTTCACTACGATTAGTAGACAACTTTACGGCCTCCATAACTGCAAAGGTTTTCTCCGCAACACTATTATCATCTGAGGTGGATATTGGTACATCTACAAATATACAATTTTCAAAATAAAAAAAAAATGTAGTAATTTAAGGTAACACAAGTACTTACCAGAAAACGGTTCTTCTAGTTGATTTTCTTTACTACGTTTTATACCATAAAGTGTGGTATTGACCATGGCATCTTTTTGTACCTGTTCCATCTCGACTGGATAGCTCACATAATTCAGTTCTTCACTTTCTTTCTTACTGGTAAAAAAGTCTTTTACTACCTCTAAGACAGGAATAGTTTTCTTTATAAATAAGTTATTATCAGGGCTAGATATTAATACATCTGTAATAAATATATAAAGAACTAATATTAGTATATTTATTGATAGAGAACTAAATACTTTACTTACCAGAACTTATTTTTGTTGGCTGTAACTTTTCTAGTTCTACCTCTTCAAAGCCTGGACCACTATAATCAAATTCTGTAGTTCTATTACTACTAGTAGAAACAGCAGAGTCATTATTATCAGGATCGGATATCAAATCTAATAAATAAATAAAAAATCAATCAACTTTACTTCTAATAATTATTATTTATCAACTATACAGAACTTACCTTGTTCCTGCTTTTTTCTTATAATTATTTCTATCATTTTATAACCACGATTTCGTAACATATTTACGGCACACTTTGTCACTAATATTATTTAATATTCTTAATAGAAAAATATACTTTTTTAAAAAACAATATTAAAATAAGTAGTCGGATCAGAACAGAACTATTGTTACAAAAGTTTTAGAGGTTATGTGTGGTTATGGCATGGATTCATTATTTGCAGAAAACATCCAACCCACTTATTCACTTATTGAGCGAAGGTTCTAGATTTTGCAGAATGCATCCAAGCCACTTGGTCGCTTGTTACAGTTATTACACAAATAACAGAAACCGACCATGTTGTTCGGATGCTTTCTGCAATAATGTAATTTGTGTTACAGAAATATTTGTATTGATCAAGGAAGGTTTTGACCTCTAAAATTCCATATTATCAGTTGGTCGCTTTATACAAAATAAAGAATGGGTTAAAAGCAATCGAAATATAGCATTAGTCTAATTTTTAGTATATTGTGGGTTGGTCGCTTTCTGCAGAACTGGGCCCAATTGTTACTGTAGTTTGTACTTTTAGTTACATAAATTTAGCTCACACGAGTCAATTAGATACAGTCCCGGTAAAAAACTATACATTTCCAATTGAGAATGGAACATTCTATCTATATGAATTAAACAAAGACAATATAGTTTTAAACACATATCCAGCTTTCTATTTTCACGAGAAGAATTTACCTTTAGGAACTGAAATTAAAAATTCACTAAATCAAACTATAGCTTCTGTAATTGGTAACCATAAAAATTACTATCCCATAGCACCGATTGAACAGACTATGTACTGTGGAAAATATGGTTTGGAAAAACTGATTGGAAATAAATCTATAGTTATTTATGGTTTCACTTTTAGTCTAGATAATTTCAGAGATAATTTTGTGGAACTTGGAAACCAAGAAGTACAATGCTTTGTTTATGTTTAAATTTTTAATATTAAATAAACTATAAAATTCTATTTGTCTGTTGTTATCATTATGAGTGACAGTGTATATACCTGTATTGAATGTCAATCACCGAATACATATCATTAACTACAACAGATGTTGTGTAAACATTATTTGTATTAAATGTAAGAAAAAAAGAAAACATTGCAAATTAACCTTCAATTCTCCAAAATTGCAAGAAGGACTTTCAAGTGTTATTAAGTATGCAAAACGACAAAAATAATCCTTATTATGTAGTTAAAAGTTTGATTGTTAAAATAATAATAAATAGTTACTGTAATTGTTTTTTTAGTATACAATTGATAAATAAAATAAACAAATATATGAAAAAAAAATGCTTTTTATTTAATATATATTTGACTTAACCACTTATTTATATATATTAATCCATTATATGTGTACCTCCTTTAGTAATTTTTTAAAAAAATCACTTTGAACGGTCACAAAATTATTTTATTTTTTAATAAATTAAAAACAGCACCAAACACATTTTTTTATTCTTAAATAATCCTTACTCAAAACCAAATATGAATTAACTATTTACAATGTATACATTTTTTTTTTGAAATGATGGTGATATCTTTTATTTGAACTATAACCTTTTATTAAGATATCAAATTTTAATTACTACAATAATAATTAATAAATATGTTTTATCATATTCAGACATTTGTTTACATTTACATTTATCCTAATCATTGCCAATCGGTGTTGGTTCGTTAAGGATGTATTACATTGTTCTTTGGGTACATTTTCTTTTTTTAAATCCTACAATACGGGCTAGGCTAGGCGAGGCTCGTCAGTACTCTTCAGCCTCATCTCTACAGGTGACACTTTTCACATCTGTGCATGATTTTTCTGTTCGACGTTAATCGTTCTCTACTTACCTCCGTTTCCCCGTTTAAATCGGACCAACGATAGCTGAGATATACGCTAAGGCCCTTCTGACTTTTCGTTCTACGCATGCTTTTTTTTTGTTCGACGTTAATCTGTACCACGTTTTCTACGTAATGCCGTGCGAAGATATACGTTAATGCCCTTTTGACTTTAATGGTAATTCTTTCGTTGGAAATGACAGCTAGATGACAGTTCACGCTGAATGCAGTTTGTCCCGTTTGATTTGGACCACGTCATACACGCTTAGGTCCTTTTGGCATTGCCATTGCGCATGTGAAGTTGCGAATGGCAACTATCCAACGTGATTATATACATCATCTTGTAAATTATTATTAAATGTCCTCGTGGCCGAGCGGTCTAAGACTCCGACTGGTAATCGGCAAACCTCTCTGGGTCGGTGGATCGATCCCCCGCGTAGCCAGATTTTTTTTTTATTTAATTAATAAAATTAATAATGGTGTATGTTGAGTTGCTGTGATATTGTATAATGATGTATAGTAAGTTGCGGATTAATAAATTAATTAATAAGTGACTCCATCTAGGGGCAGATATAGCAGGCTGGCAACAAGGTCGAGTAAGGTTAGGTTAGCAACAGTTGGCTAGTGACGTAATGACACGTGACGTCAAGGCGAGTGACAAATGGATGACAGCATGACACGACACCTGACATGACAGGTGGCCGGGAAAAGACAATTAAAAAACAAATAAAAATCGATTAGTAGATTGCTGTTAGATAAGAACTGAATTAGGGCGTGGCAGTTAGGCGGCTTTGTCAAAGGAACATTTTGTTCCCACGCTCAACCGCCGCTTCTCCTGCTGTATTAAAGGAACAGCACTGATTCGGCCTCATTCCCCATGTTAATTCCCATAAGAAATCGCCAAGGTTCAAAATAGCATTTTTTGTCCAAAAGTCCAAAGGTTCTACGCCGCTTCTATTATTTACTTAACGTTTAATATTATTCATAAATTACCATTATCGTCGCTTCCTCTTACACACTCATTCGTTGTGACACCTGCCGCGAATAGCACAGCGTGTGACCTGGACTTTTGGACAAAAAATGCTATTTTGAACCTTGGCGATTTCTTATGGGAATTAACATGGGGAATGAGACCGAATCAGTGCTGCTCCTTTACTTTGCCAATTTGGCAGTTTTCATTATCTCTTATTTGGTGGGGAAGATTGTGATATAGTGGAATAAATCATCGCTACGCCACTGTGTTAGTGAAGTGTATCGAGGTGTTCTTAGAATCCTTTTTTGTATTGTTTTTTCGGGAAACACATTTTAATATTTTTATATGCTTGCTTTCCCACTTCAGTTTTCGTTGTACTTTAAATCGAGTTAGTTGGTATTACAATAAATAATGGTTGGGAATTTAGTGATTATTTGTTGAATATCCCACGCGAAGAATCAAAAACACTTCACTTCGCTGCTAAACTTGTACTGAGTGTACTGGCCGAAGGTCACAGGCAAGCCTGTCTATAGTGAAAAGTTTTTGGACTCATCCGTTTTGCGTAAATCGAGTGGACTGTCATCCTTTTTCCCCTGTGCGGTATAAATTAAAATGCATTTTTACACGGTACTCTCATCTGTTTTGCTCTTTATAGTGTGATAGACAGAAAGTAACGGCGGTTGGTCGTGATTTGCCGTGTTTATCTCAAATCTTAATTTTTTGGACCCTTATCCTTTTTTCCCTGTTGTCATCACGTATTTTTAATAATGTTTTAATTTTAATTTTGTAAATATCCAAGTGGACTTCCTGACTCGTAATCGTCATAATACATGAATAAGAGAAACACAATTTTATTACCAAAACTTAAAACCTTTGTTTTCCAAACCTCAGAATGAACAAAATTTCTTACATTATTAGTTTGAACAAGTTTTATAAAATTTAATGATTATTCAAAAACTTCGGGTAATTCAAAAAGATGTTTAAGAACGGTTCTAAGAGGAATACATGTTGCGGTAACATTTTTTTAATGTCAATATTTTCTGTTACTATCTTTAATAGTTTCAACTGTTATCTGACCAACTTTGTATTCAATTGGTGGTATATAGAAGTTTCTATTAGATATAGCTTTCAATCTTAGATATTCGGATGAAAGCCCCCTAAATGTATTCTGAATTTTATTCAAGAGTGTATTTGTAGTTGACACTTTTTCTTTACAATTAGAACACGATTCAAATGCATTGACATATTTTTTAAGAAAAAATTTCAGGTCTCTGTTAAAAAAAATTAGAAGTTTCTTCTACAATTAATTAGATAACATTTCTAAGTATAATTGAATTGTCATACAGCTTAGCTATAAATTGTAAGACACAAATATTTAGTATATTTTCAGTCCTCAAAGTTATCATGCCGTTGATTAGTAGCATTATTACTGCTAGAAATAAGGTTAAAAAGTTTAATTTGTATTAATACTATAATTGTCGGAGGTAGAAATATTACACCCATTTTGACATTGCCCGTGTTTATTTTTTAAATGTTTTTAAAAGAGTTAATCTCATCTACTTAGTCCTTCCCTATCACTTCTTAGGTCATGAACTATTTTAAAATGCAAAAACATACCCGTGTATCTTCCGAACACAAATAACAAACTGGCATATTTAGTCTTTAAGTATTTAAAAACAATATTAAGTAACATATGAACTCACAAATAAACAACGCTGAATTACTAGAAGCAAAATAATACTCCTAAATTACAAAAAAAATCCTTATTTTCTAAAAAGATAGGTAAGTATACCTAACGTTTACAGTTTTAAGTCCGCCAATAATGAATTAACACCAGTGAAAGATTTGTCCTATTTGGTATGTAGTTTATATATTCCTTGTTGAATAAAAAAACATAATTGTTCCGATTCCCTGGCGTATTCTGCATGCAGAGTATGAAAACCTTTAAAATATATATCTAAGGCTTTTAGACAAGATGGCATAGAAAACATATAATGTTGATATACCCTATCATATACACTTCGAATCTCGGTATTTGAGGGTTCCACGACGATTACCAATAGTTCAACACAAAGTCCAAACTGTAATTTTCTACTTTATTATTAACAGCTTTAGCTAGTTCTGATATATTCTTAAAAAACGTATAATAAAATGTAAGACAACTGCAACACTTAGATAAAAGTTTATATTAATATACCAAATCTATGGCTCGGTCTGGTCATAT